TCCAAGGGAAATAGGAAGGTAACAAACACCGGCGTGCAATTCCAAAATGCACAAATCGGCCCTGCCTCCGGGAAAAACGCTTCACACAGGAACTGTCCCGATAACGTGGTGGAACCCAATCACAAAATAGCGCTTTTACAGTAAATATCAGTAAATATAATTAGAGTAAATATAAGCAACAGCCCAGAGGACACGGCACTTTTCTCCTGAAAGAAACCCAAACCCTCCCCGTTCGGTTCGCACCAGCACCGCTGGGGAGCCCGGCGTTGGCGCTTTCGGGAAAGCCGCCGCGCTGCCGAGGCTCCGGCCGCCAGGGCCGGCTCTGGGGCGGCGAGACCCAGTGTCGGGGCGGCGGAGCTGCACAGGGCCACGCGCCTCTGCCCCCGCTGCCCGCCCGTCCCGGTGCCGAGGGAACACCAGCTACTGCTTCGAGGACTTGCACAAATGCTTTCATTGTCTCGGGCTGACAGCTGGCAAGCATTATTGGGAAATATTATCAACAAACATACATCAAAGTATGTTCGGCTTTTGTTCTGTTGCTTTTTCAGCACAGTTTCCATATTTAAGTGTTCAAAAAATGAAACTCGGTCCAATCCAAGGGTAAGTCCGATCACCTCATCTCCAGGTTTCTGCTAGAAGGGACAGGTTTATGCAGCTGCAGTTCGGTTTCTGCCTACGCGAGGACGACTGCAGCACTATCCCGAAGGTCATACACTTGCTTCATGCACCGATCTGGTACGAAGTGGATTGGATTCCTTTGTGCACCCACTGCGATGGGGCTGTGCGGTACCTGACAGACCGTGCAGTGCCATTTCTGTCCCGAGTCTGAGAAGGGGTCAAGAGGACGTACAAGTCCTGACTGTCCTGTATTCATATTACATAAATTTGTACCCGACAACCAACAAACCCGTCTACCTGCAGCATGACACCCAAGATGGCTACTGCAAAATTTCAGGGCAAAAAGAGACAACGCTGCTCAGCGGCGTGCGGGGTTACACCCCAAAGCCAGCCACGGCCTCGCCCACCTGACTTCAGCAGAGAAAACCCTCAGCGTGGGGAAGCAGAGCGCTTGGGCCAGCTCGTGAGCGCCCAGAAACCCCAGCTGAGGGCCTGAACATCTCCCTTTTGCAAACTCAGTCACTAGTTTCCAAGGCAGGATCCTGCCATGTGCTCTGCAAGGTGTGTTAAGCCTTTTTTCCATCCCTAATCCTTTTCCTGAGACGAGTCGGTTGAGTACGTCTCAAACTGGCAGGTTGAAGCGATTCTGAAAGTGAAATCAAAGGTTAGAGCTGGTGGGGGAGGCCCTGGCAGCTCCGGCGGCCGTGCCCCCCGCGGAGGGTCCTGCATGGCTGGCTGGGCAACCTCGTCCCCAGGCAGGAGTCAGCTTTCGCCTGCAATCAGAATCTGAAGGGGCCTTTCAGCAGAGGATTTTGTAATTCGAGGTTTACGTTTCAGTGGCACTTACACAGCAGAAAACTTCCGGGAGGTGAGATCCCCGAGAGGCACCAGCACGCTGGCCTGAGACACTGGTTATTAACTCCAGAGCGCCGCAGCGGTGACAGAGCCCGTCCAATTAGCGAGGCCTGCAGGAATATCTGCACTCCTAAATCTCTTGGTTTCTGAAAGGGTTAAAGCTTATTATTAGCATATAATTTACAGGTCCTTTCTCCCAGGAAAGAAATAATGCACAGTAAATGCCACATTCATTTTAATAATACATGTTACAGTCTGTGCCCAACATCTGCACAAAGGTAAAGCAGACAGATTTTTTTGACATGTCCCACTCTGCCATCCAAACACAGGCTTTTTGTTTCTTAAGTGACGGAAGGTTTAATCAAGAAAGCAGGCAATTCATCAATCGAAACAAGGCTGCTCACACCGCCCTGACAGCACACACATGGTTTTATACAGAAGAAACCTGGCCACCTGTCAGCAGCACCTTTTACATCAGGATATACAAATACACCAAGTGATCAATCCTCCAGCTCTTCCCATTCATTTCTTCGTTTTCTTATTATATTTTTCTTTATGCTAGATGTTGCCCTCATTCTCTGCAGGGATAGATGGGAGACAAGGCAAGCTATGGCTGTTTATACACTATCATAAAAATTTATATACCCTTAGAGTGACTTATTTCCCTTCTATTTGAGTACCATTATTATAAATAATTTTTCACTTCATTCAGGAATTTTCCCTGTACGTTATTATCTGTGGCTGCCTGAGAGGGCTCCCTCTCTCCCTCGCTGTCCTTGTGGCTCTGATAAGCCAAAGCAATATGCAGCCAGGAGATGCTGAAGTCTGAAATGAAGGCAGTATGTAGTCACAACAACATCTTAATTAAGCTGAAGGCCATGAAGAAAGACTACGCTGTGAAATACTGAGCAGTGTCTGTCGACAGGTCTGTCTGGAGCGAGGCATTCTTCTTCCAGCAGCTGCCCCTTCCAACAGGCACGTTAAACCTGTCAGCTCCTCGGCACCGTGCTCCCCGCAGCACCCAGAGACCTTCCGCAGACGGACCCAGAGGGATCCTGCCCCGGGTGCGGCGGGACAGTGCCAGCGGTGCTGGGCCCAGGGCTGGGGCAGGCAGAGGGCCGATTCCTTTACTGTGCAACCGGGAGTCCCCAGCTTTGTGGTCACCCACCCAGTGCTTCATCGCCAAGGGAGAAATGGCAAGAGGCTGGTTAAGAACTGTAATTACTGCTTCCAGGACCACGTTTTCCTTGACTCCAGCTTTGTGACAGTAACTGCAGCGCACACCCCGAGGAGTGACAGGACAGTTCCAGCGGGGGTACGGCCATTTCTGCCAAAAGACATTGAGATACGAGCAGGCTCGACAGCCAAAATTCTTCTCACCTTCCATACACAGGCTGAACCCCAGCTGGAGCCGTTCTTTTCACTGACTGCTGAGAAAATCTCGGGTGTCTACAGAGAAGCGCGACCACGCTGCAACTCTGCAGTTCCCCATCCTGTCCCCACCATGAGAATTCAGACTGAGGCGATACCAAAATCGGACGAAAAGAGGCTGTTCCTAACGGCTTTTGTCTCCCTGCGCCAGCACCAGGAAACCTCCCATTTTTCCGAGAGCCAAGAGAGGGAGCCCGCAGGCTCGGCCGCCCCGGGTCACCCCGCTGCCGCCACGGCCCCCCC